TCTCCAGAAATCAATTTAAAGGGTAATAAAAATAATTGCTGATGTAATATTTTCCCTATAATTATTACAAAAACACAAAATAAGTAAAAATAAGTATTTAAATTTGTGTACAAGCTGTTTAGATTGTCAAAAAAACAGTGTTTTTAGGGTTATTAATGAAGTTTGTGTACTCAGACCAGTAATATTTGGGGTCACAAGTTTTTGCCATGGATATTTTGTGGGTCAGAAGATAAAAAGTTTGGGAACCACTGCTGTAGAACATACCAGATAACATAGGAAACATATAGGTACCAAGGAACATGGGTACCAAATATCATAGGTATGCTCCAGAGTAAAAGCTGCCCAATACTTTTGGTTGTTTTTGCACCAAAGAGGGACAATCAGAACTCAGTGTCTCTGCTCAGTCCACTGCAGGCATCAACCTCACTTTACACGTTCATAACGTGCAGCATGTTCCAGGAATAACCTCAAACACCAAGTGTTCATGAAATAACTGGCGTTTTCTAAGATTAATATACAATTACAGATTCAGGGTTTTTTTTTTCCCACAAATTTCTCCTGGGAATAGTTTCTAACCACGATGACTTGAAGGGGAAAATGTATTAATGTTCCATCAGTGCGCATAAATTCCAGCGTCTGCTGCTCCTCGTCGTCTGTTTTCAAATTACACATTTCATCTCCCTCACCTGTCGTACTTCAAACACAAAGGTGGGAGTTAATGGGCTCAGTGAAATGTACTGCTTCGTGTTTAATTCTTTTTTTTTTTTTTGTGCTGCAATTGGAAAAAGGACAGGTCATTATGTTGCTGAGGAGAATAACACTCACGACTGAAACAAAAGCTTTTTTAAATGATGTGAAAGAAACCGTCATCCTCATGTGATCCTGGATCTGCTGTAATCACTGTTGTACAACACAAATTAAAATTAATTCAAAAAAGAAAAATAGTACTCTCCTTTTCTATTTGATTGTTGCCGTTTGGTTGGCTCACCCACTGCAGCAGTGAAGAGCAAAACTCAGATATCACCTAATGATTTTGTCCACCTACACCTGCCTTTACCGGTGAAGTTATCAGAGTAAAACCGGAGAGATTTATAAAGACAATAAAGACCGTGACTCCTCCTCTTTCCACTTTCAGCAGTCCGTTGCATCTTGTTGCATCAGACCATAAAAAAAGAGAAAAAAATGGCTGCTAAATAAAAAGCAGAACTGGGCTTTAGAGAAAAGCAACAGTTTTTRAAATGATCATTATGATATAAAGCAATGGTGTTTTAAATAAAAATATATGATACAAAAAACAGGTTTGGCTCGTTGTGAGTCGTTTGAAGGTTAAGGAAAACAAATTACTGTAATTTAACAAACACTTTTTTTCTTTCTTTCTTTTTCTTTCTTTCTTTCTTTCTTTTCTTTCTTTTTCTTTCTTTCTTTTTCTTTCTTTCTTTCTTTTTTTTTCTTTCTTTCTTTTTCTTTCTTTCATTTTCTTTCTTTCTTTTTCTTTCTTTTTCTTTCTTTCTTTCTTTATTGCTTTTTTAATATAAAGAAACACAACATGACAGGATGCCAATTTTAAAGGATTATTTGGTTGCAAGTTTTCAAGGAAAACACTAAAAGTTGATGTTAAGGGTTAAATTTGAATTAAGCATCAAAATGTAGTCAAACAATCACTACACTCACTAACTTAACCAGAGTTGAGGCTCGTTTCAGTCCTGAAGCTTCAGATTTAGACTTTAAAGACGTTAAATTTAGACGTTGACACTATAAACTGTTCTTAATGTCACGCCTGGTACAATAAAGTTAAAGAAATAGATCACTTTTGGAACTTAGGTCATATTTTGTTTGTGCACATCTGAGGGAAAGCAATGTGTCCATCTAAATATAGGAACAAACACATTTTGTGAGTGTGCGGCTCAATGTTTGTGTGTGTGTATGTGTGGTTTGACGAGCCACAGCGTCGAGTCGTCTCTGGTCAGGTCCTGACCCTGCGTCTTCATCCCTGCCAGATTAATTGTCAGATTCCAAAGGCCATCTGGGATTCGCTGTTCAAAACGACATTTGTATAAAAATAAAAACAACGGTTCAACAACAGCTAGCATTGTTTCACTTTTAACTGAATAACATTGTAAATTTTATCTGTAACAGTCAACAGTGAAGCAAGARGGTGACCTTTTCTCTGCTGGGTGTAGCAGGAAGCTGGGGTCCCTCTGGCCTCCCACCGCTGGCAGGAATGGGCTCTAATGAGGGGCTGGACCGAGTTTTCTGTAAATTTTATTGCTTGAAACTCACATTAAATGAGAAAATGTAACTTTGGCTAACGACGAGCCCCTCTGAAGAGTCGGAGGAACCTCCTGACCCCTGAGGGGGATTTCTCATCGATGTCATCACCACTCGGAGCAAAACAACACAGAGAAAAATGTGCTTTTTAGTCGTCCTCTGCTGTGTGGAGCAGCTGCTGAGCTGCTGTTTTCAGCCACTTTTTACACTCCTGGGGGTTTTGGACAGCTGTTAAACACTGTCACACTGTTTGTTTTTATTATTATTATCATTACAGAGCGATGCTCAAAGAAACTAATGAGGTTTTATTTCACAGCGTAGCCTCTTCACGCATGTTCCTCTTTGATTCACTTAAATGTTTTTATTTTCCATAGCTTAAGTTGCATGTCAAACTCAAGGCCCAAGGGCCAGAAATGGCCCGTGTTGCAGTTTTATTTGGCCTGCGATTTATTTTAAATGAAATACAATTCACCCATCGATCTGGGACAGATTAACTTTTATTTGTTCCCAATTTACCTAAAAAAACACTAAGCTTCTCGTGGCTGTTTGCTAACTTTGGAGTCTCTCCAGGACAACTCTTACCTACCCAGAGTTCATGACCACAGGTGAGGGTGGGAATGTGGACCGACAGGTAAACAGAGAGCTTCACCTCGCAGCTCAGTTCCCTCTTTTCAGCACAAATTAGGCAACTAAGTAACATCCATCAATGTGACAAGTGCAATAACAAAAGCTATAATCACTCACAGTGTTTCAGTCGTAGCGCACCTTGTTGTGAAGAACTGCTGATTCTTGCTCTCCACAAACTCGTGCCAATTTTTTTATTTTTGGTCCGGACAAAGAAAATCAATTCAGTCACCAATTTACAGAGACTTGTCTATTTTGCCAAAAGCAATCTGAATCAAAAAATAATAATTCCCGGAGCAAGGTGAAGCGCGTCGAGCAACGGCTTCCCTTCCCACCTTGTACTACTCAGAGAAAATAGTTTTATTTTTAAGCCCAATGTCTGTTTGTGACAGAAAAAACTTGGTCAACTGGAAAATACAGCTACGGAGCTTTCAAAGTGATGAAAACAAATATTTCATCCATGCAAATATGAATGTTATGAAAATAGCATCTATGTAAGCTGGGGTTGGGCAAAACTGTGTGCAAATAATCATCAATAAAATAAGTTACTGCAATTAGTGCCACGTGACGATGACGTATTTTTGTGCTCATATGAGCCCAAAAGTAGAGGCAGTTTGGAAGAGCTAACGCTAATCCCTAATTTACGCTGCGTTTCCTCCGACCTCCACGGTAAAAAAAAAATCTAAAACCTATCATAAACAATGAGAGTATTAACACTGCGTCCGCAGGACGTGGTGTTCACATGGCAATCCACTAAAATTAGATTCAGTCCTATTTTTATCAGATGACAGGTCGGAGACACTACAAAGACCACAGTGCACCAACAGGAAAAGGAATGAACACAACATCCATATTTTCAAAATAAATCACCAAAGGCAGACTGCATTTTTATCAAAGTCCTTGCTATATTAATAAATATACAGGTATATTTTCACATACATGCTGTCAAACTGTATCATTCTGTTTGAGAAGCAGATTGCAGCACACACGCAAAATATGTGGATTTTATTTTGAAATATGGATTTTAAAAAAAGACAACCGCAATACAGCTTCAACTATTCTTTGTTTCATGTTTTTTTTTTCCACAGGAGGAATTAATTTAATCTGACTTCCACATTCATGACTGGATTTATTACACGATCTTGTATGTTCCGCTCATGCTTCCCAGTGTCCTTCACACGGGAGCGGAGCGGGCGCAGTGTAAATGAGGGTGGAGACGAATGACGGCTAACTGCGCGGCGTGGCCACCGGAGCGGAGCCGCGTGCAGTGTAAATCCAGGGGAACTTGTTCAATCACCTGAGTATGAGGAAAGCCAGAAAATGCAGACCGAAGTCACAACGTCGCCCACATGAGCGCATGTCATCTATAAATCGTTATAATAATCGTTATCCGCTAAATACTCCAGTTAATTGTGATGAATTTTAATGTCAATATTGCTCAACCCTAATGTAAATCTGTGATTGTATTGAGATAAACATTCAAGTATTTGTGCCTTGGTAGTGCTGTAGACTACACAACATACCTGTGAATTATACTTATAATAATCTGACATTTCACTTCTGATAACTAAGGTCTGTTTATGATGTGTTTTTTTTTTATAACTAGAGACTGAGTTGTAAACTATGACCTCCACGTGTCCCTGAGTTGGACCTGATCCTGGATCAGATGTTTATTTGTTGTCAGGTGTCAGGATGGAGGCAGAGCAGAACCCGCCCCCTGTAGTAAACCCAGCTCCACAGCTGAGGGAGGAAAAGATCAGGATTTAACTGAAGCAAAAAAGGGAAATCTTCGGATGATGGCTGCAAAAATAAAGAAGCCGTGCAGCAGCAGCAGCAGCAGCACGATGCTGGTGTTCTGGTTCTGGTTCTGGTTCTGGTTGTGACCCGTTAATCCTCTCTGCCTCAGATGAAACCATGGACGTTTTCACGTCGATACTGTTTTGCTGTTGCAGCCCAGAAGCCAGTGTTCCCTCTCTCTCTTTTTTTTTTTTTTCTTTTTGCACACAGAGAGCTGCAGATTTCTGCAGACTGGCACCAAAATAAAAACAATTCAAGCCAATCAAAACATAAAAGGCTCGCGTGTGCGCGCGCGCGTGTGTGTGTGTTACCTTTATCTTGACCTGATGAGATGCTCTCCTCCTCTTTCGGATTTGCAACCTGTGTTATGATGGACGTGTTGTCCATGGAAACGAGATGTTGCGCACCTATCCGCTCCGCCGCTTGGTTCTTTTTCTTTTTTTTTTTTTTTTTTTTTTTTTTTTTTTTT